CAAGCCGAGAAGCCGAGAAGCCGCGAAGCCGAGAAGCCGCCGGGCAAGCCGAGAAGCCGAGAAGCCGAGAAGCCACCGGACAAGCCGAGAAGCCGAGAAGCCGAGAAGCCACCGGACAAGCTGAGACAGTAGCCCTGGAACCCCCTCTGAACACTATGTTGCATCTTCACCATCACAAGACATCAACTCCCCAACCCCCTCTGAACAATACGTTGCACCTTGAGACATCAGCCCCGCCACCCCCTTTGAATATATGTTGCATCTTCGAAGATCAACCCAGCGACCCCCTCTGAACACTACCTCGCCCCGTTAAACTTCTACATTCATTGACGATCTTCAATGAGGGTTTAATTCTCCCAGCCCCGTTAAACTTCTACATTCTGACGATCTTCAATGAGGGACAGATCTTCAATGAGGTTTAATTCTCCCAGCCCCGTTAAACTTCTACATTCATGAAGATCTTCAATGAGGGTTTAATTCTCCCAGCCCCGTTAAACTTCTACATTCATTGAAGATCTTCAAGAGGGTTTAATTCTCCCAGCCCCGTTAAACTTTACATTCATTGACGATCTTCAATAAGGGTTTAATTCTCCCAGCCCCGTTAAACTTCTACATTCATCGAAGATCTTCAATGAGGGTTTAATTCTCCCAGCCCGTTAAACTTCTACATTCATTGAAGATCTTCAATGAGGGTTTAATTCTCCCAGCCCCGTTAAAACTTCTACATTCATCTGAGATCTTCAATGAGGGTTTAATTCTCCCAGCCCCGTTAAACTTCTGCATTCATTGAAGATCGTCAATGAGGGTTTAATTCTCCCCAGCCCCGTTAAACTTCTACATTCATTGAAGATCTTCAATGAGGGTTTAATTCTCCCCAGCCCCGTTAAACTTCTACATTCATGGACGACCTTCAATGAGGGTGTAATTCTCCCAGCCACGTTAAACTTCTACATTCATCGAAGATCTTCAAAAAGGGTTTAATTCTCCCAGCCCCGTTAAACTTCTACATTCATTGAAGATCTTCAATAAGGGTTTCATTCTTCCCAGCCACGTTAAACTTCTACATTCATTGAAGATCTTCAATGAGGGTTTAATTCTCCCAGCCCCGTTAAACTTCTACATTCATGGACGATCTTCAATGAGTGTTTAATTCTCCCAGCCCCGTTAAACTTCTACATTCATCGAAGATCTTCAATGAGGGTTTAATTCTCCCAGCCCCGTTAAACTTCTACATTCATGGACGATCTTCAATGAGGGTTTAATTCTCCCAGCCCCGTTAAACTTCTACATTCATTGACGATCTTCAATGAGGGTTTAATTCTCCCCAGCCCCGTTAAACTTCTACATTCATGGACGATCTTAAATGAGGGTTTAATTCTCCCCAGCCCCGTTTAACTTCTACATTCATGGACGATCTTCAATGAGGGTTTAATTCTCCCCAGCCCCGTTAAACTTCTAATTCATGGACGATCTTCAATGAGTGTTTAATTCTCCCCAGCCCCGTTAAACTTCTACATTCATTGAAGATCTTCAATAAGGGTTTAATTCCTCCCAGCCCCGTTAAACTTCTACATTCATGGACGATCTTCAATGAGGGTTTAATTCTCCCAAGCCCCGTTAAACTTCTACATTCATTGACGATCTTCAATGAGAGTTTAATTCTCCCCACCCCCGTTAAACTTCTACATTCAATTCATGGACGATCTTCAATGAGGTTTTAATTCTCCCCAGCCCCGTTAGACTTCTACATTCATTGACGATCTTCAATGAGGGTTTAATTCTCCCCACCCCCGTTAAACTTCTGCATTCATTGAAGATCGTCAATGAGGGTTTAATTCTCCCCAGCCCCGTTAAACTTCTACATTGATTGAAGATCTTCAATGAGGGTTTAATTCTCCCCAGCCCCGTTAAACTTCTACATTCATGGACGACCTTCAATGAGGGTTTAATTCTCCCCACCCCCGTTAAACTTCTACAGTCATGGATGATCTTCAACAAGGGTTTAATTCTCCCCAGCCCCGTTAAACTTCTACATTCATGGACGATCTTCAATGAGGGTTTAATTCTCCCAGCCCCGTTAAACTTCTACATTCATGGCCGATCTTAAATGAGGGTTTAATTCTTCCCAGCCCCGTTAAACTTCTACATTCATTGAAGATCTTCAATGAGGGTTTAATTCTCCCAGCCCCGTTAAACTTCTACATTCATTGACGATCTTCAATTCGCCCAGCCTACTTTCTTTGACGATCTTCTGGCTGCTGATTAAGGTATTCTTTTTATGCTCTCTAAATTTTGTTTCCAAAAATATATCATCTTGAGTAAGTCTAAGAGTTTGTGTTAGAAATATTTCACAACCTATCATCCCTGATTTCATTTGCCATAACCCAACTATGATTTATTTGGGGAAGTTTTGCCTAAGTCTTGCCATAATTTGATTTGATCCAACCGACGTTCAGTGAGCTTTTAGCCATGTGTAAGTGGTTTGATGGAGTCAATGACTGCAAAACTGAAGAAAGTCAATGACCTGAAAATCAAATTTGCGCCATGGTCAAAAATATTGAAATTTAATTAATGGATTCTGATCCGACATTCCAAACCCCAACCAACACATTGATGACTGGTTAGATGACTATCCCCTTTGGCAACTAACCCAATGATAATTTTTGACCATGGCACGTGTGTCAATGACTGGACTTGCTCAAGTATGTTAGTGACCGATTGAAATTATTTTTGTGACACTGACTAGTTCTCAAGAATGTCACCAGGAATTCATTTCCCTAGGATGTCATTGACAATCACCCAACAGCTTTCCGAAGACACTCCCCTTTTTCTTCGCTTCGACGATGAGCGGTGAAGCTACTCCAAGCGGTGAAGCAGAAAGACCTCAGGGGGATAGACAAGTCAGTGATGTTTAAAAGGCAGTGAATGCTTAATACACATGTTGACCATGCCAACAAGATTGTCATTGTCAACAGCGCAGCACGCAGCCCAGCACTTTTTCATCAGATCCTGACGATGTCATCATGACATACCCCAAATTGGTGCTAATTTAAAAGCGGAATTTCGGAACGTCGTTCGCGTTCAAAAATGGCTCCGCTAGACTATTATTCGAGGGAACGACTTTCGCGTCCCAGATGCAAGTTGCAAAAGTAGCTTTCCACAATCAAGCCAATCAGGCGTAGATTCCACTTGGGGCCCCTTTCTCCTTCACTTCAATCACTTGCATGCCGGGCACCAACATAGAGAAGCTACCAGGCATTCCTTCCCATTTGATGTGCCCGGTGACTTTGATGGCACCCAAAGGAGAGACATTGGCAATTTCAACGGTGACTGATGGCGGCTGTTTGACGGACTTGGATGGCTTCAACACCAGCCTTGGCTTGCCTGGAGCCTGGCTTGGTTCCACAAACATTGGTGTTAGTGGTGTCTTCCCTGGTGCCACAAACATTGGTGTCATTGGTGTTTGTGGTCCTGGTGTCTTCCCTGGATTCAACTTCCAAGACGGTGGAAACTCTGGCTCCGGAATCTTTGGCCATGTGGTCCGATCATCAGTGTCGTCACACCTCTGTCTCTTCCTCTGACGCTGCAAAAGCAAGTCTTCCCAGTCCTCATCGCTTGACCGCGATGATGACACTGACAGCACATCATCCATCATCCTAGGTCGATGTTGCTGAAAAAAGGTGACAAAGGCAAGAATCAATCAAGGCATTCAGTCTGAAGCTTTCAGCAAACATTATTCAGAATTCGGCACATCTGAAAACATTGCGGCCAAGTCGCCTTCGGCGAGCCCTTTGTTGGAATAGCTCATCGCCAAAGGCTTGATGCTGGTTGCGACCATTGATCTGCTGGAAGAACATCATGCTGCTGGACATGGGGCAGCAAAGGAATCAGTGGGGAGCCAGATGCAGTCAATGTCAATTGCAGTGAAGGTCAATTGCAGTCAATGACAAGTGTGTTTCTCTTTCAGTCATCGTCTTTTGTTTGCCAATGGAATGTCAATGACAAGTTGAACATGATTTCAAAATTCGATCCATCAAACTCAGAGTCACCTGGCTGGAAAGCTGGGAAGCCAAAACGGCTTTCACATCGTGGGTGGCTTTTGTGTCAATCAAACACTTTGACAGTGCCAGGAGAGAATTAGTTATGATACAGACTATGCATGTGAGTCGACTTGTCTGCAACATTCCACAACAAGTGTCATTGATTCTGCAGATTGTATTCAGCTATAAACTGATGAGGCTCAGGCTGACAAGTGAGAAGTTGGTTGCCCAATCCCACATTCCATTCAAAATTCCTCAGCACGATGAGGGCCAAGGCAGGACTGATGCAATCATTGGCACCAACTACCATTCCAATCATTGATCCTGATTCAAAACTGATTGAAAACGGCAATCACATCATCATCATCATCATCATCATCACAACCATGCCATCAGTCAGCAGTTCACTAACAGGAAAGAATCAGATGTTACAATGCCTTAGACAGTTGCTGAGAGAAGCAAGCAAACCAGGGCCCAAGCAAGACCCAAAACGCAGCAGGTCCAATCCTCATTCCGCGAAACAGTTTCAGTCTTTGACAGTGAATACAAAACAATTTTGGATCAAACAAATGCGAATCAGCCACAGTCATTGACAGTGAATTCAACTTATCATAATGTTGATTTTTATAAATATGTGAATCGTCAGTCGTTGACAGTGCATTCAAAACATCTGATGTGAAAGGGTGACAGCGAATTGACATGTGAAAAAATCTAAGTCAGTGACAGCGAATTCAAAATGTCAATGTGAAACAGTCTGTGTCATTGACGATGAAACAAAATTGACAGTGTGTTCAAAACACTGAGCCCTGTACGACACTGATAACGCCCACATGAGCTTCTCAGCTGCTGCAGGTCAGACAGTCAGCTGGTGCGGAAAACCTGGGGGCAAGTTCAACATTCTTTTGGGTTTAGACTTCAATAAAAGTTGAGTTGACAAACTAATCAGACAGAAAAAGCACCTTACACAGAATCCTCTTCTTCATCATCATCATCGCCGGCTTCACTGGCTTCATCCTCCTGGCAAGATTCAACGATTCAACAACGACGGCATGTGAGAGAACTATGAAATGTCACCAATAAGAAAAAACATTCCAAGTAAAAAAGGTTCGAATAGGATGCTGTCCTCTTCATCTTCTTCAAGAAAATCCTCTTCTTCGTCGCCCTCATCAACGCTGGCCTTTCGCTTTTTGGATCCTTTGCCTTTGCCCTTTCCTCGTCCCTTGCCCTTTGCTTTGCCACCCCTGCTCTTGCGCTTGGGTTTCTCGGATGTCCTGCTACCACCACCACCACGAGTTTTCCTTTTCGGCTCTGGATTGACTTGGTCATCATCCTGCTTCTTTGTGTCCTTGATTGCCTTGACAACCTCCGGCTGGTAGTGTCTGGATTTGGCCTGGCACATGAGCTTGAAGAGGGCCTTGCTGGCATTGTCGCGATACCATGCCTCGTGCTTTGAAGAGTAGCCTTGGATCAGGACTGCAACAGGGCCAAGTGTTGCTGAAAAAACCAACTCCTCCGTGACATGTAAAAAAATGTTTGGACAGCTTGCAAATGAAGCACTTTTGATCCAAGAGACACACTGCCAAAGTTGGTATTTGGCTTTCAAGCAGGGGAGCCAGGATTGACGGGCAAGATGCTGTAAGCAGCAGGACAGCCTTGGGGCGAAATCGATGAATGATCTCTTCGAAGACTTTCGGGCTCAGGATGGACCAATCCATGGGCTCCATCCCTGGAACATCTTGGCCTCAGAAAAACATGTTGCAGTGTGTCACTGTGGCTGGCACTCAAAAAAAACAAGCTGAACTGTTGAAGATGCAACTGAACTGTTCAGTGTTGAAATAATTCTTTCTTGCCAAGAAACCTCTTGTTGAAGCAGACACCCTGCTCTCGTCTGCAACACGGGCTCCGCCCATCATGGCATGTTTGTCAGCAGTGGCCAGGAGAGGAACATCTTTCAACATCGATTTCAAACATTCCATCAGGCAGCTTCCAGCTGTAGTTCCAGAGTGGTTCACATTTCGGCGACTTCCAACGATGGTGCCCATGCGAGCGGAGTCACCAGGGACCGCCACGATGGTCTCAACCTGGGGGAGTGTAAAGACCTAAGGGTAGCAAAGGACATCCTTGACTGTCAAGCATCCACATGGTGCAGGGTTGCTTCTGCTTCATTGAAATCAATCAGCATGGCACATGAAACCCACCAGTGTACCACAGCTAAGCCCCCTTAACCAACTTCTTGCCAAGAAACACCCCGCTCCACTGAAGATCCAGACAATGAACGGGCCTGAAGTGACTCAACAAGACAATTAAGGTTTTAACTACCTAAACAAAATCATCATGCGCAGGTGACAGACTGCAAGAACATGCAAAAACAGGCCTTCCTATGGTCCTTCACACTCTCCTCGGCATAGCTCAAGACAAAAGTATGCTTGGAGTAAGGTCCCGATTCAACTGCCTTGAAGAGCTGCATGAATGCAGATTGAGTTCCAGCACGGCCTCCATCGAAGAACAAGTACCTGAGATGAACAGGGATCAAAGAAACACAGAGACAGAATTAATGTCACACAGGTCAACATGCCCATGACATGCAGGATGTGAGTGATATGGAGTAGATGACCTACAGCATGTGTTTGTGACATGCTGGCTGTGTCAATGATGTGTCAATGACAAATAAGACTTGTATCTGAAATTGATTGAAATTTGACTTGCAAATGAAATCTGAGTGATATGTCAAAGGACAGGACTTGTATATGAAATTAACCGAAATATTGCGAATGATGTGTCAATGACAGACAGGATTTGTATATGAAATTGACTGAAACTTGACAAATCTGAATGATGTGTCAGACAGGCAGGATTTGTATATGAAATTGACTGAAACTTGACAAATCTGAATGATGTGTCAATGACAGACAGGACTTATATATGATATTGACTGAAAATTGACTTGTAAATGCCGTGTCACACATCGCTCGCATCCAACTGGGGATACACCACCTTGTCAAGATCCTCGAAGTTTGGGAGCTCCTCAGACCTGGTACTCATGACAGCTCGAACCACCTTTTCCATGTGGTCCCGCCGTGCCGGTGTCGGGCTGCGGCGGGAATCTTTTTCGTGTTCCCCGGCAGCGTCAACGCTGTAAATCACCAAAACTGAGCTGTCACTGCCTCCACGGAGTTTGGTGAGTTCCATGGCTTTCATGAGCTTGCAAAGTTTCTCCAAACTCTGCGACCCATCCACAGTCTGGACTTGTGACCTCACCATTCGTCGAGCCAGCTCTGCTGCGTTTTCCACCGTTTGCAACTTAGTGGCATGTTCTGGAAGCTGCAGCTTTGACAAAGACTGAGCTTCCATGAAGTTGCACAGCAAGTCAGACTTCGCTGCAGTGTCATCAACTTCCATGTCCATGGCAAGAGGTGCAGCAGAGGACACGATCTGCCCCCACACCTTTTCAATCGCGGAATGAGAAAGCACTTCTTCCAACGACTGCTGGTGCCGGACAGCCTGCTTGACTGCGAAGTCGTACTCTTGGCCGAAGATGAAAGCAGCGGCGAAGAGAGCAGCCTTCTGACTCCTTGGATCCAAACCTCAGTGCATCAGTCTAAACCAAATTTCATATTTGGGCGGGCCCACCCAAAAGACACCAGGAAGTGCCAAAGGTCTTTTGGCAAGGCCCAAATCCAAGACTTGAGGAAATTTACTATCATCAAATTCAAACAACAATTGACAATTGAAGACAATGATGAGAAATCTTAATTTGGCATAAGATGGCTGGCTGAATGACATCTTTTGAGCTGAATTGTGATGAGTGACAGGCAATCCAAGCCTGTCCGTCACTGACTTTGACGTTCTGTTGGATGGCCTCCTTTGTAAAAGGCTTTCCACCGAAGCTCTCGCGATAGGTGATGTGGTCTTTCAAGCTGTTCCTGCAGCAATGTGAACTTATTATTATATAAATTAAAAACAACAGACTCAGCGACTAGTAAGTCGATGACCATCATTTAGTAGCAGGGTATGGCAGGGTTGTCAATGACAATGGGTTCAATGACCGTACAATGGTGTCCTTATCTGTACAGAATCCTCCGGCGGCAGGTGTTGGTCGAGCAATGCCAGGAGTTTGGGTTTCTGCTGAAGCTTCCAGAGCCAAACTGCAATCATCCTTATTCAAATGGGCAGGGCGCCACAAAAACAATCCACAACAGACAAATAGCTGAATTCAATCACCCCAAATTGGCGCCGGGTTCCAGGAAAATTGAATAGTATTTTGACAAAATGCCAGCAAATTCAAAAACAGAAATTGCTGGCTAATCATTGGCCAGCTAATGAAAATAAGCCAAAGTTCCCTTTGCCACCTTTGGCACCAAAAAGATAGGTGGGCTGCAGCTCAGCTGGCGCCAGCTGTCGATTCAAGCAAAGATCGGCCATCTGGAGCATGCACCACTGCATCGATTCCGCATTGGATCGGCAAGCACGCATCACGCCCTCAATCTTCAAGACTGAGTCCAATGGGCTTCGCTTGCCAAAGGTTTCATCAGTCAAAAAGGCCAAGTTCTGAGTTGAGTTGGCTTGGCAAACTGTTGGGCCACTGTTCCAGGTGAATAGGAAGCTACCACATTAGATGCAGTCATTGTCAGACAACACCAACAAACTAAGTAAGCCAAGTTTCCTTCAGCTTCGGCACACTGAAGAGCGCATTCCACAATGCTAACGCAGTTGTCAGAAAATGCTCCGTTGCTGCCTCTCCGGATTTTATGATCAAGTGCTTGTCAAAGTGGGCTTTCAAGACCTTTGCAGTCACCTTGCCATCACCACCCATCTTGTCCTGCAACATCTTTTTCAAAGCTCCGATCTGAAACACGCGCTGGACCTTACTTCGTTCTGCCACATTCCCATGCAATGCCTATTGGCAGAAACTAAATCGTAGACCTCCCAAATTGATTTTGGAAAATTGAAAAGCATGACAATCAATGAACATGTCACTGGGGTGTAGTAGAGGTTTTCATAGGCCTCGCCCACAGATTCTCGAATGTTTGCAGATTCCCAGAAAGCGGACTCCAGATCATCACCAATGCTCTTCCAAGTAATGCCGGAAGAAAGCCACGCATTCTTCCACTCCTTTTCATGGACAAAAGGGCCAATGGATGCAACAATGTCAAGTCTTCATGGCGATTTTTTGGCATCGAAAAAAGGCACCCAGAACCCAATCCAAACCTTGGGGAAATGCTGACGTTGGGGGTATAAATACTTGCGGACTGTTTTTCTTGGGGTGGCAATGCCAAATTCAAAAAAATAACAGTCAACTGGCAAAGCAAATTGTCCTGGATGCTGAGGCCTGCCGACACATCACGATAGGTCGCTAACACGTAGGCTAAGTGTTCTTCTTCAGGAGATATCCTCCGGAGTAAGCTTTGCATCCGATGCTCTTGCTTTCGAGGATCACTCTTCGAATTGACTGCCACGGTCATCTGGATTGGCACTGGTTCTTTGAATTTGCCCATTGCAAGCAAGGTCACCGCTGACTCAATCACTGGCACGGTGCAAGGACTCCAAAAAGGATTGATCCAGCTGACATTCCCGCCAGCGGTGTAGGAATGCTGGGACCCAACCAATTTCATGTCTGTTGGGTGCATCGATCCACCCTTCTCTACCTTCAAAGGGTCCTCTGCTTGGACCCCCGTCCAGTCATCATGCCTGAATCAAAATGACAGATCCTTTGGAATCTTATGACAGCTATTTGGAACAATTGTCACTCACACTTTGACCAAGTCTGTTTGTCACGCATGTGTTAAAAAAAGCCAAGCCACAGCATCAGACCATCCCAGGCTTTCTTCACATGTGCCATGATGTCCACATTGAGAGATTTTGTTTGAACATCCGATGGTTCACCTGCCAAGATCAGGGCATGGGGCATGGGGTATGTTTGATACTGTTGGTGATGGTGATGCTGATGGTCAGGATGATGGTGATGATGATGATGATGACGATGGTGATGACTATTCAATGGTTTCCAGCGGCATCCAAAACAAGCATGGCCTTCCATCGGGGCCACTTCAGCAGCAGTTCGAGGTTGTTTTTTGGCCCGAGGTGCCATGATGGGCAACTGACGGCAGCTGCAAAGTCACCCTCACTGACGCTGACAAAGGTAAGGGAAAGATGACAATGACAGGTGGATTTTTTTTAAAAAAAATAGTCCAGATTTCAAATGGTCTGACCGTAAATAAATTAGATTCACTTGAAATAATGCCAGGTGAAAGTAGTCTAATAACATGCCGAGATTTGACTTGAAATGTCCAATCAATTGGTACCTTGTCATTGATTCTGACCAAAATATACCAAAATGAGCAAATACCTGGCTAGGCGTGCACAGCAGTAACATGCAGGAGGCTCAAGTTTAATTGCGGCTCATGGTTAAATGCTTGAAGTTGACTGATTGCTCATGAGTTTTGGCAAGGTCATTGAATCTGACTGAGTGGTTCACTTTGTTCACAAAAATTTTGATCCGGAGCACCTTGCAAATCTGCAGTGAGAACTGCAGGTCCCAAAGTCAATGACTATGCTACGTCCCAAGTCAATGACTGACTTGTGATCAAGATCTAAGAAAGCAGGCCAGCAGCTGTTAAAACAGACCTGACAGCTTCCTGCAAAACCGGAACTGACATTGAATTTCCGATCTGATGGCCTTTGGCCGTCTTGGGAGTCCCAGCCTCTTTCCATGGTATGTCTCCGCTTTCAAAGCCCTGTAGTCGGGCCATCTCTGCAGGCGTCATTCGCCTATGCTCCTGAGAAAGACCAATGGTGGTTCAACATTGACTTGGTTGCTGAGTCATTGAGAAAGATACAAATGTCAGTCAGTCAATGTCATGAATTTCCCAAGGAATTCACAAATCTTTTGCGGGATCCAAAGGCAAACTCAACGTCAATGACTGACAGTCTAGTGAGTCTAGTGAGTCTAGTGTGCAAAATTTGTTAAGGCAAAAAACTGAGGCAACTGCTTTGGTGAGCCAGTAGGCTCTCTGAGAGCAGCGGCTTGCTGTCAACGTTCCAACATAGCCAGTGCTCACGACACGAAACTTCTGAGAGGCCCCAATGTCGATCACGGACTGGCTGTCCAAGGGGTCACACCCATGCTTTCGCAGGAACCCGAAGCCCGATTTCAAGTTGCGCAGTGCAGTGCGGCTTCCTTAGTCAGTGGCACTTGGCAAAAGCTAAACAACCACTGTAATCGAAAAAAGCCATCTAATAGCAATAATGTCATTGTCAGTTAATTTAATGCAAATGCCAACTGATTGCTGCCAATGCAGAATCTTTTGCAACCAAGATGCTGGGATACTTTTCTCTCTTGCGTCCTTGGCTCAAGAACGTGCCCAGTGGCTTCATGTCAGACGACTTGGACCTCATTCGTGGCTTTGATCCTAGTGGGCATCCGAGGATGTAAAGCCGTCTCCGCCTCTGAGCAAGTCCAAATCGTCGACTGTCAACTATCTTCCAAACCACGTTGTAGACCTGCACGCCATCCTTTTTGATGTTCTTCAGGCGACGGAGAATTGATTGGAAGTGCTTTCCTCAGCTTGATGATTCGCAGACTCTTCCAGTCTCTACCAAAATCTAGAGATGGCAGCTACCCAACAAGCCTTCCTCCTTCATTCAGTCACCCCTGGCACAAAAAACTTGTTCATTAAGTTAAGTGTCTGTGCTTTCGGCCTTTCAGCCTTGGCACATTCTCCAAGACAAAGGTCACAGGTTGCTTTTTGGATATGTAATCCAAGATCCCCTCCAGCACAAACGCTCTGGAATCATTGGAGCCACGGTGTCTTCCTGCAGCACCTTATTGAACGCAGGTGGTAACATCACTTTACAAAAAAGTACAACAGTTCAGACTTGATATACAGCTGTCTGTCAATGACTTGACATTAAATATTGACTTTGACAAACTGACATGTAACAGTCATAGGTTTTGTTCACGGCGCGGCAGTCAGTCACTGTCCATGACCCAAAAACTAAAGCTAAGTCAGCGACTATATGGTTGGCATGGAAAGCCAGCGGTGTACAATGACACTGATGGCTTTAACCTGTTTTCAGCGGCATCTTCCAGAATCAGCTTCGGTGCATGAGACTGGCCTCGAGGCATTGCAAATAGTGGTAGCCGTTCAATGTTTTGATGCCACCCCGAATCCAAAACAAGCATGGGCACCAAACCAATTGGTTAGACAATTGTTCATTGATATCCCATGGATTCCCAGGGTAATAAGGGGAACTCACAAAACAGGATTCATCACATTAAATTAAATCCAAGTTTCATTCTAAGACCTTTCTGCAATGAATGTTGCTATCACTGGCAAAGAGGTTTCTGAATGGGATTCCCAATCTGGAGACAGCAATTGCATCAGTGCCGATGCCGCTACAGTCAGACCCAATGGTGATAGGTCTCCTTCTCTTGGGCATCACCTCAGTTAAAGAGCTTCTGATGATTTTCTGATGTCAAATTCAAATGATATCCAAAGATTTCAAAACTCAGGTTGGCTGACACTGACACTGACACTGGCAAAAAGTCTGATGATTTAAAAAGATTTCAAAACTCAGGCTGGCAGACACTGGCACTGACACTGGCAAAAGTCTAATGATATCAAGATTTCAAAGCTTAGGCTGGCTGACACTGACATTGACGGATGCTGACTGACATAAAATAAAAAGGGCTGGGTTCAGTTTTTGACCACCGCATAGCTCTGATCACAGCTGCTTCAAAAATTTGTCAACGACTTAACGACTGACTACTGTCATCCAACGATGACAATGAACTTTCCAAATTGAAGTTCCAAACGCTCACGAAATATCTTTTTCATCGACATCATCATCACCATGCTGGCTCTTGCCAGTATCATCCTCGCCAGTTGCATGACCAGGTTTGTCACATCCTCGCCTGTTGCATGATTTGCATCCCGATTTCCATCTGCATTTGCTGCATCCTTTGGACTTGTCGATGTTGTCAGGCTTCTCGGCTGTTTTTTTTTTTGGCTGGTCTGACAGTGCCACTGGGCTTCTTGCGAGGCTTGGTAAGTTTGGAAGGCATTGAAGGCGACGAATCCTCAGGTTCTGTCATTGCCAGTGCACTTGCTGGTCGTTTCAACCTCGGCTTGCGTTTGGCCTCGGACTTGGACGTTGGCTTCTTTTTCGAACTGGGTCTTTTCATAGCAGCGGTCGGTTCACCATGGCCCTCCTCATTCTCAGGGTCGGCTGCTTGAGAAGATTGATCTGATTTCTCATCTACCTCGCTCTCTTCAGAAGCAGCACCAGGCGGAGCCCATCCGTGGCAGCGCGGCCAAAAGTCGCCTGGAAGACGACCTGAAGCCATCCCTTGAAGCTGATCAATCTTGGGCCAGTCTAGCAGGGTCAGCGATCAGCAATCATGACAATGACAATGCATGGCCAGTCAATGACAATCATTTAAACGGAGTTTTAAGCAGTCAATGACAATCAGGCATCAGGATGCATCACAACTTTGTCAGTCACTGACGGTTCAAGTGCTAGATAAGTACAAGTCAGTGACTCTGGGGAAATGCCGCTCCAGCGCTCCAGTCCAAGTGCTAAGACCTCAGTGTAGCGGGTTTCTGAACTTGAACTCCCTTTGCAAAATTTGTTTGCTGGTCATTGATGGTTTTTTAGTTTCTGAACCCTGTGTTTCTTGAGAGGCTTTGATTTGGGATTTCACTGGTGCAAGTTGCAAGGTCCCTTCACGTTAGAAAACATGACGACACGACATGTATAAAAACAAATCGATGTGGTGACAGTGACTTGTATGGTCAGAAATACCACCATGAAAGCAGTCATTGGCATCAGAATCATTATTAATAAAGTCAATCTGATTTTCCTCAAATAATTTGTAGAAATTAGTGATGGAATATTCCAGTAAGCAGGCTGGATCTGACATTCTGAAAAATACAAATTTTGACTCGCTGGTGCAGGGGGTCCCCCAATACACGCACCAGCAAGTCGGCGGCACCGCTGACTCGCAGGGGCAGGGGTTTCGAGTGTACTTTCGACTCGCAGGGGCAGGGGTTCTGGGACCCCCTGCACCTGCAAGTTAAAATGCATGAGAAAGCACTGCCCCTGCAAGTCGGCGGTGCCGCTGACTCGCTGGTGCACGCGTTCCAGACCCCCCCCGCACCAGCAAGTGGAACAAAATTTACTGCGCTGACTAAGGCATTCTGGATTTACGAGGTGTGATGAATTTTCACTGATTTGGCTCAGCAAGTCGGCGGTGCCGCCGACTCGCTGAGCAGTGCATTCAACCCATGGCTCAGTGCGTTCAACCCATGGCTCAGCAAGTCGGCGGTGCCGCCGACTCGCTGAGCAGTGCGTTCAACACATTTCTCAACACTCTTTATCATTTTTTTGAGAATTTATTAATATAATTTAGGCCAACCTGTCTGACTTTGAAACGCAACTAAGTGCCGAACCAAACTTGAGGGATCACGCTCAGAATCAAAGACTGCTCTAAGTCTACGTCATGAGACAGTGACAAGGACAAACTGGTTTGAATTTGGACATTGACATTCGTCGTTGTCATTGTCGAATCAAATTGCAAATTGTGGCCCTGACTTTGCAGAAAGCAAACTCGTGGCTGGCAAAGCCAAAGCTGAGAAAACCTGGCTTCATCAGTCTGTCTGCTGTTAATTCAATGGAAACCTGAAGCTCTCTTAGTCAGGGGAAAACTGTGACACTGCTAGATGCGATCAACAGCTGCCTTTTCACCCCCATGTGCCAGCACCCACATCTGAGATGCTTTGAATGCGACGCGGCTAAATTTCAATTTCCACATCCCCTGGAAAGGAACCCAGCTAAACTCAAGAAGAGGCACGGCACCAAGCCTTCACCCGTGCCATGACTTTCCATTTCAAAAAAGTGCGTGAGTCAAAAGCCATCTTGAACCGTTTGGATTTCAAATCTGCAGTTGGGACCAAAGCCACGAAGCTGGACTTGGTCTTGGATCTGGCCAATCGGTCTCTCCACGCACCTTCGTCATCCTGAAAAAAGAACAGGATGCCACGACGACGAGCTTGGGATTTCTGTGCTCATGACAGAGTCAAGTCAATGAAGGGAAAAGCTCGTTTTCAGCCAAGCAGCCCACAATTTCCAACCGCCATCCAAAGACCATCGCAAGATTTCGTCAAGTGTTGGATGAAGTTTGGAAAACTCTGGCACCACTAAGAGATTCCTCACAGTCCTGATCTTCCCAGCAGCCATGTACCTGACAATCATCAATTTTAATTTATATAAATTGACAAATCACTGAGACACATGCGAAGCATTTAAATTTAAACCAATCCATAAATAGTTTAATTCATCCAAGTTTCTCAATCCAGGGCCCTTTGGACAACCGCTTTGTGATGATCAAATGCCCATTGAGCTTGGATGCCCAAGTCACCCGTTGTCCCGGTTCATTGAAGCAGTCGACCACATGGCATGTAGCCTCTCCCCAAGCGTCGACCAATTCAGCTCCAAGAAGGGCAAGTTTTTCTCGCACGCCCTCCGCAGTTGTCCACACAAAGGTAGGCCTCCAAAGGGCTGACGCATTTGATAAGTGCAAAACGAAACAAACGGTCACCTGGCCTCGATTTCAGAGAAGGAAACTTGCGACTTGCAAATTCACGTTCCAACTCGCTGCTTTTTTTCGCCTGGGCTGGTCAGACTAATAACAAAGGCAAGCTGACTGACGTGACGGTGACTTACTCACTTAAGTTGCCGAGTCACTGCTAGCAGGTCATCATGTTTCTGCTTCCTGACTGCACAAGGCCCCAGGCATACTACATTATTTTCAATGACTGACTCTGACTAAACATCCCTGACAGTGACAATGTCAAATCAAATTCACCACATCAACTCACTTGGCAGCTGGCTTCAAGACTTGTTGGTACTCATTGTCGGGCAGCTTTTCATCCTTCTGCAAGATTCCAAGTTTCTGGGCTTCGAAGCGACGTTTTTTCACCTGCAGAATGGCTAATTATTATTATCTGTCTGTTGGCAAACTGGACAATGACAGTGACAGGCATGTCAATGTGAAACCTCAATTCAAACAGGAAACTACTTGGCCCATCTTGGCAATCGCTTTCTTAGCTGCTGCGGGCAATACAGGAGGTTGCCCTGCTGGTTGATCAGGCATGGCCGATGCAATCTTGTTCACTTCCAAGCGTCGCCGTTTGACCCAGGCTGCCTGGCTCTGCATTGGGTCTTTAGCCTTGGTTTGGGACAAAGCACCCACCCACAACCCACAAAACATGCAGCATAAAATAAAACCTCAGACTGTCTGAATTGAATTAAAGGTTATTAAAAACCTTTTAAATTGATGGGGTTTTTTCAGGCTCTTTCAGGGTCTTATTTGCAGTTGAGTATCTTGTCTCTTCTGCTGCAGCTTGATTCCAGACACAAAGTTGCCAGTCTCAGAGCGCTTTGATCCTGATAGGCGATCTGCCAAGTAGCCTTCATTCCAAATTGCTCGGGCTCTCCTGACGACTTCATGGGTTTGGTCTGGCTCCAGCTTCAGGAAGTTGGTAACTCGCAGGTGCATTTCCTTGAGCAATGGACTTGCCAGCATCTTTCGAAAGGTCTCGATCAAATTTCCAAAATCCCGCTCGCAGGCTGACGTAGAACTTTTGGATAAGCACAGTGCGCGTGCCAAGCACTTCACCAGGTGAGGGTTGTCTTGAGCATGTTGCCCACGAAGAGTGCTCACCCAGGCCTGAAGGTCTGGTATGCTGTCATCATTGGCAATTCGATCTCCTCAGCTCCAGAGCCCCAAAGGCTAGCATTTGAAGATCCCAATGTGACACAAGCCGGCTAATTTTGACAAATTGACTTCAACCATCATAAGACTAGGTTCTTTTCTTCGACGCGGTGT